GACCGTCCTTTTGAAGCGTGTGAACTAGTGCTAACCGACCGTCCTTTTGAAGCGTGTGAACTAGTGTTAACCGACCGTCCTTTTGAAGCGTGTGAACTAGTGATTTTATCCTGAATTTCTTACCTTCTTTTGTTTAATTAAGATCAAAAGAAGGTTTAGACAAAAGAAGGTGAGAAATTCGGGATAAAATCGTATGCGCAGTGGAATCGATTTTTAATTATGAAAGGGCTTTTTGTTGTGTGATACAACTCATAATCAATTACGCCTATGGACTGGCGTCTTTACCTTTATCAAATCAAGGCATATGTTAATTATTTTGCTAGAATGGAATATCATATTCAATGAATCCACCTTTGAAACTTCTCATCAACTCCAAAAGTAGTTGTAAAACGTAATGGACGAATATTGGCTTACGGCAGTTGATTAGCAACTTGAATGGTTCTTTCACTGGATGTGAACTAAGCGTGCTGAGACCGTGAGGGAGCTACTTTTTTAAATCCAATTATTCCATTTAGAAAATCTATATCTCATTTGGTAAACTCAATACAAAACAAAAAAATAATTAAGAAAAAATCCGATCAATAGAAAATTAATGGACGAATTTGGTTCAACGGTTGACTTAGAGTTTCAAAGGTCCTTTCACTGGATGTGAACTAAGAGTGACAGTGACGGACGGCGACTTTTTCACATCCTTTGAAGGGAGATCTTTTTATAATCTAAAAGTTCTATATATTTTGGGTCAACTCAAAATAAAAATTAAAGTAAAAGAAGCTTTTTAAAAAAGAATCCAAATGGACTAATATCATGGTTACCTTTAGCAGTTGATTTGGAGCATCAAATGTCCTTTCACTGGATGTGAACTAAGCGGCGTGCTGCGACCGTGAGGGAGCTACTCCAAATTTTCCAATTACAAAACTTATATCTCATTTGGTAATCTCAATACAAAACAATTAAATCATGAAAAAATAAAACCGACCAAAATTAAATAATGGATAACCAAGTTAAGAATATAAAGGGAACTTGGTTATTTTGACTTAATTTTTATTTCCCCAATAACCAAGTTAAGAACGTACATAGGGGACCTGGTTATCATGGCTTCAATTTTAGTTCTCCAATGACTTGCCCTTACAATTGGTAGGATAACATAGGTAACTACCATCTAGAAGGACAATTCAATTGTGAGAGCAATCTTTTTTTCTTTCCATCGGTAGGATATCATAGGTCAATAACATCTAGAAGGCCAATTCATTTTTCCGAGCAATCTTTGTTCTTTCAACCTGTTAACAGTTAGAAATACATTCTCATCACCCTCGGTTTCGTGTACGATTGCTTCATGTTACAACCAACTGGAAGGATAAAGAATAACAGGCTTGGCTTGTGATTAAATGGTGTGTTTTGAGGAAAAGACTACATCCCGGGCGTAGAGTGCATCTCACGGCCCCCTCACATCTCAATTTACATACATTTACTGTATTTTATAGGTGTCCCTCTCCGCCCGTGATGTAGCCTTCCTTGGTATCTTGATTCGGCTTCACTTTCACAACCATTTGGAAGGCATTTTTTCAATTCCTATCACTTCTAGCATGAAAAAACTATCAATGGTAGATTCTATATGACAGTGAAAAACTCAAGGTACAAAGGAATTCAGCCCTGGACTCACTTGCTATCCATTGTGACAAGTTGAAAAAAATGTTTCTCCGCGTTCGACTTTTCAACTTCTCGGAGTTGACAGAAAGTTAATTAGTCTGGGACTAGACTACGTAAATATTTGCCATGGTGTGATGTTAGAGGTGTATGAACGCCCGCCAATAAATGGTAGTTACAGAATATTGCGATCATAAGTATGATAAAAGCCATGTTAGGGTACAATGAAAATCGAAGTCAGCGTTAAACAGTGACCGCATTACATTCTAGCCTTTTGGTGGTTTTACGCGGGGAGGAAATTCGGCTGAAAACCAAGACAACGTGATTTATTCTGAGTATCTCACTGGAATCTGAAGATGACTTCCGCTCAGGTTGTCGAAACGTTAGTCACCACCAATAACAGTCTTTCTCAAGACTACACTCAGCCGGACGATCACATTTCACAACGATCTTCACCTGGGTTCAAACTATTTACTCTTATTCTGAGTATCCGTTACTTGAATACACCTCAACCTGATTTCTCTCATTTCATTCTTTTATCAAATGACCATATTTAAGAGTATCCTTTTTCAGATCACCATATTTAAGGGTATCCTTGACCATATTTAATGATATCCTTGACCATATTTAAGCGGGTGTCCTTGACCATATTTAAGGGTATCCTTGACCATNACCATATTTAAGGGTATCCTTGACCATATTTAATGATATCCTTGACCATATTTAAGCGGGTGTCCTTGACCATATTTAAGGGTATCCTTGACCATATTTAAGCGGGTGTCCTTGACCATATTTAAGGGTATCCTTGACCATATTTAATGATATCCTTGACCATATTTAAGCGGGTGTCCTTGACCATATTTAAGGGTATCCTTGACNCGGGTGTCCTTGACCATATTTAAGGGTATCCTTGACTGCATTTAAGGGTATCCTTGACCATATCATAAGAGTATCCTTGACCATATTTAAGGGTATCCTTGACCATATTTAAGGGTGTCCTTGACCATATTGAAGATTATCCTTGACCATATTTAAGGGTATCCTTGACCATATTTAAGGGTATCCATTTTTCAAATGACCATATTTAAGAGTATTCTTTTTTCAAATCACAATTTGTAAGAGTATCCTTTTTCTAATTCCATTTTAAGGTGACTGTCTACTTTTGAACGTTCGATTTAAGCCCATGATGTGCACACGCTTGAAACTCGCTGAAAAATCTACGAGATTTTATGGGAGAACCACATTGAATACAGAGAATATCGAGAGGGCAGAACCCTCGACTCTCTCTCTTGACTCTCTACTTTTTAATAGCTTATTTAAAAAAACTCTTAAAAATCCAGGTTATATCGATTTTTTTTAGAAAATGAAAAAATGTATTATAGTACCTAGTACCTTTGAGAGGTGGGTGTGTTGTATAGGCTTACAAGTGGCTTGCGGGTCCATACTTTTGATGCTCGTAAAACCATTACTTTTACGACCAAAACAAAACAAATTAGACCATTGACACCTATTTCACTTGCACTTTTAGAATTTGTTCCATTTTGCCTCAAAATCCAAAATTGTGGAAAATCAGAACCTGGATTCACTCCTTGGATCGGACTTTTCTTAGGTGGAGTGTCGGAACAAGGAAATTTTTTTATCCTTGTATTTCGACTTGAAATCGTATTAAAAGGTCTAATATTACTAGAAACATTATTTTAACGCAGTTATTTTTGAAGATTAATGATAAATTAGGTTATATGAGAAGGATACTTTAAGGGGTACTCGGGGAGAATCTGTAAATTTATTCCCCTTATTTTCTCATCTCTTTTCTTCTTTATCAAACAAGGAATCGAAAGAGACGTTCGAAATCTCCTCGCTTGTGTTCCTGCCAGATGACAAGCTAAAACAGAAAATAGAGCGGCGTAACTACCATAATTACAGCAAAAGCTAACTCTTGTCCAAACGAATGGAGATTCTGTACCGTATCCCCGAATCGATCGATGCTATTCAAGTGAAAACAGAAAACGTGAGTAGTGATTTTTATGTGTGTTCAAAAATATATATTTATAATGTGCGTTTATTGTTTACTATTTAAAAGTATGGACTGCCTGTGTTGCGAGGATGGTGAAGATACCACAGGAAGCCCATTTTTCTGATTCATATTAGAAACCAGATCGTAACTTTACACCTTTGACTACTGAATTCCTTGGTACATTAAGGCCCTTCTTATCTAGATAGTGAACAACTTTGATAAGCATACTTTTCTTTTTCGGAATCCAAAACTCAAATGTTTTGGTCAACACAATATGTTATATTATTTTTTGCGGGTTTCCTGTTGTATACTCTTGGTCAGCGGCATACCCATGAAAACAAAATGGCGGACGAGTCGAAGAAACTTGAAGAAGCAAAAGGAGAGATTTCCAAGGCTTTACCCTTCAGTAACAACGACAAAGACATCATAGACAGGCATATTAATGTTTCTTCTGTTAAGACAGATTCTCTTGATAAGCTGAAGGATATATATGAAATAGAAAAGACCGTTGAAATCATCTCGAAACACAACTACGAAAACGTGAGTTTATCAAAAATGATTATCCATTAAAGTCCATTGGTTTCATTTATTGCTAAATTGTTGAATGAGTTACTTTAAAGATCGTTTATATAAGTACAGGATAGTGGTTTGAAAGGGAATAAGGAGTTATAGTTTATAGCAAAATATTTTAGAGGGGAGGGGATTGGGGAGGGGAGGGGAGGGAGGATGAACCAGTAGTACGCTTCACATCAGTATTAGGGTAGGAATACGAATAATATAATTTATTATATGACCGTGAATCTTAGAGCCTGGACACTAGCAAATTGAGCAATCTGATTGGATAGATCGCATCGCGGACTGGTCTAGATTCTCTGGTATTAACCGGTCGGATCGCATATTAATCTTACAGCGAAAACATTTTGTCCTTTTCAATGAAAAGTGGTCATATAATAAAACTCTTATCAACCGAGCTTGGTCAGTCTGTACGGGATAATCTTGACCTCGGTCGGGTACAGATCTCGGTCAAGATTATCCCGTACAGACCTCCTGCTTGGTTAATAAGATCTAAATATTAATAAAATAAATACAAACTATACAATTCAAATAAATGATTGAAAAATTTTTTTTTWWAATTTAAAACGATTCTCCTATTTCATTTCTCTTACTCAATCTTATTTTGCTTGCCTTGACCAATGCACTTGCCTATCCATGGTTTTCACGTCAGCCATGTTGGAGGAATTTAACAAAAGAATTGTCAATGAATGCTTTTGTTATATCCTCCAACAAGGCCACCATGTCTTTTGTTATTTAATTCTCTTGGGAATGGTTGAAAACCATCAATTGGATGCTTGATCCTTGGCCGTAGTTTCCCTTATTCTTTTTGCATCAGCATACCCCTTCTCCAAGATATTGTCCAGTATTACATCGATTCTTATATCTTGTTTTAGGTTGCTTTGCAGTTCCCAGATTCACTCCTGTCAGACTCATCATCAGTCGCCTCCTTACTGGAAAAACAAACAAATGCCAGGATATATGTATTAGCTGATACATCTTATGGAAGGTAGGTGAACTCTCTAACACCACAATTCAAGATAAACACTCTAACACAGGGAACC